TTCTGTAGTTTTTTTTTATATAATAATACGCCGAATATATTTTATTCAATTATCTAAAATATGACCTCCAAAACTTCGAACTGAACCTAAAACAAAGTTTGTTCAGTATTTAAACTTTATTTTTTTTACACATTTTTCATAAACACACGCATACAAAATATTATCAACAAAATTTTATATGGGAGTTCGCCATTGTTTTTTATGACCTGCAAAAATATTGTAAATAATGTAATATTCATGAAATTAAATTATAAGAATAAACAATTAAACACTTAATCAGTACTCACTGTTTGTTCCACGCGTAAATCTTATACATACTTATTGTAATCAACACTGTTTATGGGTTATCTAATAATGTTTACCTTCTCAAAACACACACAGCAAACACGTAATACATTTATAACTATATGTCTATGTCCGTTCGCCGGACATGCAAGAGCTAGCTCGTGAATAGGGTTTGATGATTACTTAGTAAATTATCCTGGTTAAACTTATGCCATTAATTTATTATACTAGCTAATAATTATTATATCTAATGTTTGTTATCGTTGTTGTGCCATTAATTAATTATACCCTTTCATGAGTGATTATATCCCTTGAAATTACATCAAACATCATTATACCGAGTGAAAATAGATACCGTTAACTGAATATGACTTTGTAATTTGACTACACCATTCTGTTATAATCTGTACACGTATTTTCGCTACTTAAAAAAAAACAACTGTCGTGCATTAATTTACTGCCTCCGTGGCCGAACGTGGCCGTTACCATGCCCGGCTGCCACGCAGAAGTCCCAGGTTCGATTCCCGGGCCGGGACAAATATTTTTATGGCCTACATTTATTTCTCTCGTGAGTTTGGATGTAATTTTAGTTTGTAAATTTGGTTGTCTATATGTATGTCCATGGCACCCGCGACCCAGGGTTTTCCTAGTGCGGGGCTATGTTGAGTGTGTGCATTATTATTATTGTTTGTGATTGTCTATGTGTGTGTCCATGGCACCCGCGATACAGGGGTTTCCCTAGTGCGGGGCTATGAGTATGTGCGTTTACATATTATTCACTGTTTTTCTTTATTACATCCACTATATTTGTCCACACAGAAAAAAAGGAATTCTATAATAAGAAAGAGCAATTTCTCAAAATATTATTACTTCTGAAAGAATATTTATTAAAAGTAATAAAATATAGTCATTACAAAAATACTGCTTATCTTTTTCTGATACCATTTTACTCTCAACTTTATTCTAATGTTTAGACAAATACGTTCACTTCAAGATTTTATTTGATTTCTAATCAATTAATTGGACGTTACTTACATCAAGAAATTACCTCTTACATCAAATTTAAATAATCTTAAATGAATCCAAAATTTCTTGGGTGTATTTTAAGAAAATATATTCTTAAACAAAAAAGAAGTAATTTGCTATTCAGATTAATATTCTAAATTCTAGAGTATATTTTTTAAAGCAACATTTCGTTGCGTTGTCATAGTCAGTGTTGTCGCGACATGTCGCCGAAAGCGCACGCGGTAATGATTACTTTTACTGTGCTTGTAATCATAAAAATCATAAAGTCATTTTTTTAAAGAAACAATTGTAGTATATCTTTGTAGTTTGTTAGTGTGACCTTTGTAGTCATAATTTAAGAAATTTGGTTTCAGCATGAAATCAAACTACACTTGTAACAAGCACAACTTTAATATGCAATTAGTTCCACCGCGACACTCCTAGATGGTTAGTTGTACTCTGAAACGCGCTATCGTTTTGTACTTAACTTCAAAAGTAATCTCATTACACACATCAAAAAAAGTTTGCGATCACTTCGAAAAACTGAAATCTTTTTTGTTACTGTAGTTTATATTATGATTTTTTCTTCTTTTTAGATTCTTTATTTAAAAATAAATTAGAACATAAAACAATGACCCCGTTCAATTGTTTTTTCATATAAAAAGGCTTTCAGTCCTAGCTTACGCTCATTCAGAAATCTGATTTAGTCAATTATAAGCGATTCAAGATATTTTTCGCGGAAAGTTGTGATTGAAAAAATGCCAAGAGGATTATCAGAGGTTTTACGAGCTAGAATAGTAACTTTGAGGGAAGAAGGATACACCACGAGAGAATAGCACGCAGACTTGCTATATCTCAATCCTGTGTCGTGGCTACGTTGCAGAGGTATCACGGAATGGGGAATTTAGCTGACCGACCCCGCAGCGGTCGCCCAACTGTTTTGACAGCTGCCCAAAAGCGCTATATTAGATTGCTGGCAGCCCGTGATCCAACAATCAACGCCACTAAAATAAAAGCAGAAGTCAGGGCCGTCTCTGGGCTTGAAGTTAGCATGCAGACCGTTCGCAATTGCTTGCACCAGGCTGGATTACGAGGACGGAGGTCTTGGCGAGCTCCGCTCAATTCCCGGCAGCGTCAACAACGAAGATTGCAGTGGGCTAGACTTCGGCAAAATGAAGAAGGTGAGGACGAAAACATTTGGCAAAACTGTCTCTTCGTTGACGAATCCCGAATCAGCACTCATCCAGATAACCGACGTGTCCGTGTCTGGAGAAGACCAGGCGACCGTGAAAGACAAAGAACTACCACTGGAACAGTTCAGCAAGGCGGAAAATCGGTGTCCTTTTGGGGTGGCATTATGATTGGAGCTAGAACGCCTTTGATCCCGTATCGGGGCTTCATGACAGCAGACATGTACAAAGCAGTTGCTATTGATGATATCGTCAGACCATTCCGAGTAAACCATGGGCACCAATTTGTACTGGTCGATGATAATGCGCCCGCACATCGAGCTCAACGAGTCAATGCTGCTGTTCAAGAATACGGTATCACACGATTAGACTGGCCTGCCGGCTCGCCCGACTTAAACCCAATAGAGCACGCGTGGGATGCTCTTAAACGAGCGGTATGGAACCGTGAGCCACGTCCCCAGACAGTTCCAGAGCTCAGGGAAGCCGCTATTGAAGAATGGGATAAGTTACCCCAGGAAATGCTGGATAACTTGATCCTCAGCATGCCCAGGAGGATCTTCGCATGTATTCGAGCCAGGGGAGGAGTTATTTTATATTGAATTCACACCTTTTAATAATAAATTGTTGTTTAAGTTTAATTAAACAGTCTTTTTCTTTCTATGAAATTTCTATCACTATTACATTATGATTAATGGCTCAATTTTTTAAAATAAATAATAAAAAATAGTTTTATATTTTAATTTCAAACAGGGTATTCCTATTTAAAGAAAGCATACAACATAGATTTTTTCTTGATAAAGTTAAATTTAAAGAATTATAGGAGCTTATGCTATTGATCGCAAACTTTTTTTGATGTGTGTATGTTTTGAATTGTTATGTTTTCAGTAGCGCCTTAATTCGAGGTCCGTTCCCATTTGGGCGTCCTCAGGCCTGCTACTTAGCTTTTAATTTATTTTACGTGTTATGAGTAGAGGTGGTGGGCGTTTAAACGAAATGCACTTAAAAAGTCTGCTTTTTAAAATAAGCGCATAAGCACGCTTTTCATTTTAAGCGTAAGCGTTGGTCACTGGTTAGTTCTATAGATACACAATTTCATTTTTAACAACTTACCTAAGTTTCAAGTAGCGCCATCTATGTTTCCTAAACAAATTAATTCAACATAACATTGCAAACTTTTTTAAACATAAAGTCTATGCGCTTAAACGTTTTTCTATACGACTTTTTAAGCGTCAATCTAAAAATCGTTTAAGTGAAAAGCACGCTTCTTAAACGTACGTTTTAACGTTAAAAAAATAAGCAATTTTTCCATTTCAACGGTTAACAACTACAAAAGTTAAACAACTTATGTTTTTGAACGCTTTTAAACGCCAATGAACAAAATATTAATATAACAATGTTATGTCGTAAATAAAAAGATAACTCGTTTCTTAGAAAAAACTTACTTATCTTAAAACTTTTAGTGGCCTACTCTTGCGTTTCATTATCAACACAACGTTGCAAGCTTTTTTTAACATAAAAGTCTATGCGCGTAAACGTTTTCTAAACGATTTTGTTAGCTTCAAACTAAAAAGCGTTTAAAAAAGCTCGCTTTTTTTAAAAAAAGCATAACATTTAAACGTAAAAAAAATTAAGCAGTGTTTCCCATCTCTAGTTATGAGCCTTCAGCTCGCCCTTTTCTTCCGGTGGCGCAGTCACGGCCATCAGCCGTCAACTGCAAAGTGTCCTAAAAAAAAGAATTGTCAATGCTTTCCACCGGTATAGCATTTATATGGCACAGAACGGCACTCAAGTATTTGAGACGATTCCGTCATATTTCTGCTACTTTAAGATTTGGCACTGAACTATGTGCTTTCACGCTAGTGAGACATACTGTTGGGTCCATAACCCTGTAAATTTACCCTTTTTGATAGTATACGCCTTCTTATACTGAAGTCTGCGTCTCAATTCGTCGTGCTACGCAACCCCTTCGTTGACCAGCGCTACACACTTAAATATAGAAAACAAATCTTCAGTCAAATAATTAAGTACCTCTCAATTTTTCATTCTTTATTTTTTCAAGTCAAAATCAGAAATTTCTAATAACTGATAAATATTTTGTTGAATCTAGAGTAGCTTTATGACTTAAGTAAATTAATTTGCTCTTGGATTAAATATTTCTGTCTTATAACTAAAATACACTTTTGAGACTTTTTTTTACTATTATCAAGTAATTATTCTCTAGAGTCTATATCCCTATAAATATACAGATAGGATCGTTTTGTTGGATTTAATAAATTTATCTTCATAGAAAGAATTTTGTTTTTTTCTAAGTAATTTGTTTTTACCGTGCATTGTTAGATACAGGTATAGGGCCCCCCCTCCATGTCAACTATATACTGCATATACAACACAACATCGTAGAGGCCGTTTATATTAACGTTTTAGAAGTTTATTGACTCAAACGTTTATCGGTTCTACGACTGCTGTGTCTATATCTACGTGAGATGAATAACAATTGAAATTGTTGCTTGTTTGTTACAGATTGGCTCCTTAAAGGGCTACTACTTGTTATCACACCACGAAGTTCACAAGCGATCTACTGGACCCAGTCACGAACACCATCGAAAGCTTAACGAGGAACCACAAGTAAGTCCTGTTCCACATATCTGCCATTACAATAGTGTTTTAACTGAAAATATGAGATTATAACATTTCTGAACGTAAAATTTGATTCTTTACACGTCAATAAAACCGTCGTTACAATATTGTAAGGCACAATTAAAAGATAATATCCACTTAACTCATAATGAGACAAACGTTTTTGTGAGCTAGTTCTCGACAAAATAGTCCTTACTGAAAAATATGAAATCATTTTTGTATCTTTATCTTTAAATATATTTGCCAAGTAGGAAATTATTTAGATGTCTAATTAACTTTTAACTTATTATAATATATATTTAAAAATAAATTATAATAATCTTCCACGGGGAAGTGAGTAATTCGTTCTTCATCTATTCTAAATAAATACACTTTTTGAGTTAATACACTATTGTATTAACAGTGCGATAAGGTATATGTAAAGTAATACCATAGTATAATAAGATAAGCAGCGCAACTTTCGCCGATTTGGTACGTCAATGTATACATGTTCGCTTGGAACGTAGGGTTGTCACATTACTACATCTTTTAATTACAATATGCTTGAGCTTTATTGAAATAACCATTGTGAAATGCAGTATTTACATATTGATATTTTTATAACAGCAACGCAATTTTAGTAGCAGTAGAGCTCCATGTGAAAGAGTTCGTCCAGGGAAGTACTGCCGCCTTAACTATGTCTGCCGCCAAGCAGTAATGTCAGCATTACTGTGTTCCGGTTTTGAAGGGTTAAGGTGCTGGTGAAATTACAAGCACATGGGACTTGTCAACTTATGTCGCAGGGTGACGGGCGCAGTGGCAGTCCCCTCAGATCTTTGCGATTTAAAGCCCTTGAGTGGCACTGCAATTGTTATGAACAGGCGTGTAGCTTACCGTTAGGTGCACAACTTTTGCATCCCGTCACTTGATATTTAAAAAAAAACGCGGACTATTCTGTCGATTATGAGAGTATCATTATGAAATAGAAATGAGTAGCTAAGCAATTCTGAATTTGAGGCAATCTTGTTGAAACAACCATTAACACAACAATAAACACGTCTACCATATTTATGAAATGTTTTAAACATCCGCGAACCTCCTTACCTGTTTTTGCCGCCAAGCGGTAATGTTACTGCGTTTCGGTTTCAAAGGGTAAAAGTGCTGGTGAAATTACAGGCACCATGGGACATTTTAACATATGTCTCAGGTTGTCCGAGTGTTACTGCAACTGTTATGGACAGGCGTGTCAGTTAGCACCAGGCGCATGACTTATTCATCACTTAGTATTACAATTTTAATTAGAGTTTTAATTCTATTATTAATGGCGCTAGCGATAACCCGCGCGGTGCAACTTGATTGCATTGCGAGATTATCCGAATGCGTGCATCCGTCCGTACACGGCGCGTGGCGAACGCGCACACGTATAAGCTGCGTGCGCTGCTGCGTTTGTAGGAAGTTACACTGCTTCCCGTATTATACTATGGGACTAGGTTCCCTGTGGAGCTCTGATATGAGTAGGTAGTCTTGAAAATATTATTAGTGCAATGTTTACATGCATACATTACATACTATCACGAGTGTCTCCCGATGGTGTAGACAGAGAATATGTGCCGCAACTTGCTATGGACTTGATAATCGTCTTTCGTTGATGCTAGTAGAGGAATAAACCTTAAATAAACCACTAGTTGCCGACCTCACTTCCAAAAGTACGATACACTTCGCTGCCCTCAATATACATCTTTGAGACATGGAAATTTGTTATATCAAAATAATGTAATACGATAAAAAAATAAATTATTTTTACCCAGATCTAGATGAAATCTACACAGAAATTTACGACAAATTGCCCGACCTATTAAAAACCGAAAGAAATAAAATGTAAAAAAAATGTTATTACGCAAATGTTATTGAATATAATGTTAATAGATTTCTAATTGAAAGCTTGTAACTTAAACGAACAATTGAAAACAGTCTACTCTTACTCTCTTCCGTTGTGCCCGAAATGATTCATGATGTGATTCTTTTACTATGTAACACCTTGTACACTATTGTGGAATGCAAATAAAGAATATTGAATATTGGAATCTATTTCTATTCTAGTTTACTTTATTAGGACATCTGACCAGATATGTACGACTAAGTCGACTTTGCCCCACACATTCGCTTGTATCTCTGGATCATCGTAGCTCCCAAACAGATGGACTGATCTAAAGCTATTTTCCTGTTAATGTAAAGGTCTCAGTCAAAGCATGAATATGTACTTTACTTCCAGTTGTCTGAGAGATTTGAAATTAGTGTATGACGGAAATTCCATGGCATTACAATAATATTGTAACCTTATTTCCTAACTCCTCATTAGTTACAGTTAAATATGGGAAAAGCTGTTTATTTTTTTAAACGTTTAAACGTTGTGCTTTTTTTTAAAACAAAAGCGTGATTTTGTTAACGCTTTTCACTTAAACGCTTTTTAGTTTGAAGCTTACAAAATCGTTTAGAAAAACTATTGAAGCGCATAGACTTTCGTGTTAAAAAAAGCTTGCAAGGTTGTGTTGATAGCGAAAATCAGAAGTAGACCACTAAAGGTTTTAGGATAAGTAAGTTTATTTTTGAAACGAGTTTTATTTTTATTTATATAATCATTATTCATATTGACAAATCAATTTATTTAGGAAACATAGATGGCGGGACTTGAAACATAAGCACGTTGTTAACGGTCACAGTAAATTGTTTTTAAGAGCTTTTCGTTTAAATGCCCACCTCTAGTTACAGTAGACTCGTCGTCGTGTTCTGTCTGTCGTGTTTGGGCTCATCAAATTGGTCTCGATGATTTCTTATCTGACTGATGGTAATAAATTTTGGACGGAATAAATATTAAATTCATAAGCCACTGACTTAGAGCGGTGGTAGCCTAATAGTAGTACGGTTGCTTAGCAATTGCGTGATCGACATTGGTTGTTATTGACCGAGGTGTTTGCCCGTCGATGGTCTTTCTTCAGAAGTGTTGTTGCGACAAAATCCGACGTTATGCTTGTTCCGGAGTGTTCAATAGCTAATTACCATAGGTTATTAGGCCATTACACTTCTGGTAATCCTGAGAGCATTACTACTCCAATAGATTCATCTTCCATGGGTTTTCCCATAACCGATAGATAGATAGTTTTTGCTGAGCATCACGAGTGCCACTTATGTATCGCTTTATACTCGGATATGATTCGAGGCTACAGTCTCCTTAATAAGGATAGACGTCTAATGTGGCTGCTGTTAGCGTATTCTTTTTCGAGTGCTTTCCAAGTTTGCCTAGCCGTGTTGCAGCTTAGTACGATTGACTAGACATTTTCACAAATATTATGACAGTTTTTTTTATCTCACACGTTGGTCACGATGAATTTCTTCTGGGTTCATTTTTTTCACTAACCGGCTGCGCGATGAAGTCTCAGAGATCTGCGTCTATCAGCAACATTGTGATTGCAAAGCTCCAGCTGTAGTAGTTGCATCTTCCTATGTAATTATAGGTAATAGTAGACTGGGAAGATTTTACCAACATAATACCGCGGTCACTGAAGGGATTGAGGATGAATTTTCCATTTTATTATACTAATACCCATAACATCTTATAGCTTTGTAAAAAAGAAAACGTATGAGTCCACACGATGATGTGTTCGTTAAAAAAAATAATATAAGTGACAGTTTCATATGGAATATCAAATTTAAAATATATTCTTTAAAAATAATGCCAGTGTTCCTATTATATAACTAATAAGTTTAATAAATTCGATTAAAACTTATTAATAATAAATGGCTTTAATTTCTAACTTACGTACATTTGTAAGTGTTTAAATAGCAATACCTCTCATTATCGGTGGTGGAAAACATCGTGATGGAACCTGCATGTCGAAGAATATAAGCAACCCTTGCAAAATGTGTGAAGTCATCAACCCGCATGAGGGCTGCGTAGCGAACTTTGGCCTGTACCTCCCTTTTAGAATAGACCCGTGCCCAGCTGTAGGATGTATAATAATGTCGAAACAAATGACTTGCTGGAAAAAATCAACATAATTAAAATATTTACATTTACACTTTGAGACAAACTGAAAAATACTTATCGAGTTTTTAGATTCAAAAATTGAAATTATACTTTTTTTTTAAATTGTGACTTGTGAGTTTATTTTGCATTTAAATAATATTTTTACCACGAGTTTACAGTGTCGATAGTAGCGACCGAATAAAATATTTGTATCGGCAATTTTAATACTCATTGTGAGCACTAGTGCTCACAATGCGCCTCTAGAGGCGCTGTTAAATTAACCTAAAATATTAAAAGTCCTTTGTGAACCATACAGGCTGTTAACTTTATTGCGTTACACCCTTGGGGGTGATTTCACTCGTTAATATGAACAACATTTACTATGATCCTCTCCGATATCTCGAAAAAGAAATATGCAGATTTTTAAAATAGCTATCCCTATACAAATATTTCATACCCGCAGGACCAAAATATATAAAATAACGTTTTACTAATAATGTGCCAGATAATTAAATATATCATCTTGCGTACTCTGTACCATGAATACCAGATTAACGAACTGGGCACTACCCAGACTACTTACATCAAATCAAATCAAATCAAAAATCAAGAAAAAAAGTTCCCCAAATTGGTCCTACAGGGAATTGAATACGGGAATCCTCATCTAGCGATCACATGCTACATGCTAACCGCACCACCAAAGTCTTGTAGAAAATACTTCACTTTGTAATTTTTTCCAGTTTGTTTAATTTTCACAACGTAATTAACTTAGTACCCTGTATAACATTACAATATAGAAATGTAGATTCAAGCAGCGATAACAAAATCTAGCAACCCAGTTTTGAGCCAATATTTTAATTCTATCTTACAAACTATCCCTTATCTTTCCATTTTCATATATACGAAACTGTCTAAGCACATTTTCCATTTGAAATATTGGCTACTAAAAGAAGAGGCATATTGTAGGCAGGCAGGGTGGAGGTGG